GGTAGTTTTCCACAAGCGAGAATAAACAGCGCCACTTCTCCACCTAGTGGTGATTTTTAGAACTAAACCTAAAAATCACTCTATTTGTATTTTAAGGCATACCCAAGGTACTTTTAGTCTAAGTAATGCATAAAATCAATCCCGTCCAATCACGTTTGTGCAGAATGACAATTTATGTAGTCTTTGACTTTGCTAAAAAAAAATATTGTTTATCCGAGGAACAGTGCTCGGAATATTTATCAATGATTGGAGAGGTTAAAATTGGAGGTATGCCAAAAAAATTTAGCACCTAATGCAAAGTCTGCGAGCGAGTTTTCTTGGATCTTATCGAAGGGTTAAATTTGTTAATGAATTGCTACATAAAGTTTTACAATAGTAGTGAGATTTATTTGTGGTAACTGTTGGTAGAACGGATTTAAGGACATTTGCTATTGCTTTGTATTACTACCCAATTCGTGTAACTGTTATTGCAAGTACGTGGGTAGTATATTTAATTTAATTAGTACACACATTTTTTAAAAATAATTTTTTTTTTAAATATCCAATTAATATTATTTAAGTCATGATAATTGAAATAAAATTTGAGTTTCAATTGAGAAATTTGGTTGAAATTAATCAGATCGAAAATGGTATGAGTTAAATTATAAAATCAAGTTAAATAAATTATTTTATCGAAGTTTATAATTACTTTAGATGAATTAGCTTTGACAATAACAATTCCTCTTAAATTAAAATAGTTTTCTAGGTACATATATAAACAAATGAAATTCGTGTAAGATAATACATTTGTGGAAACATTTGTGGACTGATTATCTGATTGCATCGTGACGAAACTAGTTACGGAATGCCACAAAGTTATTTCCGTATCATGATATAAATCCAATCTTGTATCTATAAGTAACCATGTATGTGTTTGTGTGTGTGTGTGCGTGTGTGTATAGAGATGAAGAGAATTGAGCATAGAGTTGAATATACAATGTACAATGTAGAATATACAATATACAATATAGAATACACATTGTACAATAATAACATAAAGTAGAGTGGAGAGTGCATAAAGGTGAATTTATACCACGCATGTTGAACAGAATGCGAATCAATCGAGTGTAATTGGCATAACATGGCACTTGTACTGACACATTTATGTATATTTATATATCTCTGTACCCGAGAGTGAAGTTACTTTGTATTGTTGGGTTGATTGTAACGCCAGACAACGTCTTGTATTTTGTATTACACGAGAGCGCTTTCTATATTTAATAATATTACTCTAATAAGCGTATTAATTTATGCAATTGTCGTGCTTTATGCGTCACTCGAGCTCCGCAGTCGAGATAATCTATCAAACCAACGAAAATAACGAACCTGATCCCGGGGCTCTTTTTCAAGATGGTGGAACTACTCGAGGAATCATCGCACATTGAATATTAAAAGCTTGGATTGCAGTTTAAGTGACCTAGTTTTAGATCCCTTAGGTGGCGATTGCGTTCCGTTAATCGGAAATGAGTACCAGCGCGCCGCGGAAAAAGGGGTGAATTCGCGAATTCGCGGATTTTGTGTTTTTTGGTTCTAAAGGCCAGGGAAAATTTTTTTGAGGGTTCTAAAGTGGCTAGTTATCTAAGTCTACCGATTTTCGATAATTTGGTATACTCATAAAGGTACCTGGGGCAATTTGGACCGGAGTTATGACCCTACAAAGATGGTCAGGTATCCTTCGATTAGATTAGATCACATTCTAGCCCGAAATTAATGAATTTTTTTTTAACTTTTTTCGTTTCTACCCTTATCTACTCGACAATTAACATCGATTTTGACACAGTAGTTAGCAAAGACTCAAAGCATACAGACAAAGTAAAAATGAAGGTAAAATTCTTTAAAAGTCGGATTACACGGTAGAATTCATTTTATTTGCTTAAACTAACGTACTCTTGTATTCCCGTAGTCTTTGTTTCACTTGTCCCTTTTTCTTTATCTTTCCTTCTCTCAGAAGTTTGTTTTACTTTCACCAACGGAATATATATATATATATATATATAATGAAAACAAAGAGACTATTTCTGCAACTCTTTCTCTTTATTTTTATTCTGTGTGTTCTCTGTTACGCGTATTGTACAGTTTTATACCACCGCTTTACGAGCTTTTATTCACAGTCTTGATTTACGAATTAAATATTCTGTTTTAATTTTAATTTTTTTTTTTATTTTATTCAACTTAAACGTTACCGACAATTCAAAACGCTTAATCGCTTTTTTTTGTTAATTAATTTATCCGGGCTGTTTTAATGCTCGTTATCCTGTAAGCAAATTTAATATATATTTTCTTTGTTCCCATTCGGCGCTCCTTATTAATAAAAAAAAAAAAAAAAAAAAATTGAATTTAACGTCTAAAAAAATAAAAATATCTCAATAAACTAATTAGATAAATTATCACAGAGTATATTTATATTTATTTATGTATCTACAGAGTGGATGATTAATTTTTATCACGCACTGTGCTCCGATCAGCGCACAAACGACTCGTTAGACTCGCATTCAAATTGAATCGTCGATAATGACAATTAGCGAGCAAACAGTTTTGTACCCTATTTGCGTTCATTCGTATAAAATTGCAACTCGACTCGTATTCGTACATACACTTTCGATGAAAGAGCTAACGAATAAAATGCTTGGTATTTTTTTTTTACCTCGTGAAAATTAATTTATCACACATGCACGTTAACTGAGACCGGACGACAAGCTGTGTAATTTATTTCGTCGTTTCCGTTGGTACGGAAAATTCTTAATCAGTTTCACCAATTAAATCCATTACCTACGGGTATTTTAACACTCTATTATCCCTGGTTCTTTGTCTACCAACTTTTTACAGTTGTGCCAACATTTTTTTCCATTAACACAACAATTGGAAAGTATTTTCACCCGTTTCTGATGATAATTTATTGCTAAAGGCTAATCTAACCCAATCGAAGGATACCTGACCATCTTTACCGGGTCATAACTCCGGTCCAAATTGCCCCAGGTACTTTATTGAGTATACCAAATTATCGGAAATTGGTAGACTTAGATAACTAAACACTTTAGAACCCTTAGAAAAATTTTCCCTAGCTTTTGGAGCCAAGAAATACAAAATCTGCGAATTCGTGAATTCGCCCCTTTTTTCCGCGGCGCACTGGTACTCGTTTCCGATTAGCGGAACGCAATCGCAAGCTAAGGGGTCTGAAAGGAGGTCACTCAAGCTGCAATTCAAGCTATTAATATTAAACGTGCGATGATTCCTCGAGTTGTTCCACCATTTTTAAAAAAAGAAGAATTTTCAATTCTCTATTGAAATATTAATTTATAGTTAGTACCCAATAAATTTATCAAATTGAGCAATTGGTTAATTCTTCCATCGAGATTTTCGTCATCTGATGTAATCTAACTCAATCAAAGGATACCTGACCATCTTTGTAGAGCCATAACTCCGGTCCAGAATGCCCCAGGTACTTTAATGAGTATACCAAATTATCGGAAATTGGTAGACTTAGATAACTAGACACTTTAGAACCCTTGGAAAATTTTCCCCAGCTTTTAGAGCCAAAAAACACAAAATCCGCGAATTCGTGAATTCACCTCTTTTTTCCGCGGCGCGCTGGTACTCGTTCCTGATTAGTGGAACGCAATCGCGACCTAAAGGGTCTAAAAGAAGTTCATTCAAGCTTCAATTTAAGCTATTAATATTCAACCTGCGATAGTTCCTCGTTTTGTTCCACCATCTTGAAAAAAAGCTTTTCGGTCAGATTCATAATTTTCCGATGTTCTGTTATTAAAATCAGTTTCCTCGATTTTGAGGTGAATCAAATACAGGATATATGGTTAGTAATCATAATAAATAATGTATTTTATTAATAACCACTAAAAGCTTTTTAAAAATACATATTTTACCAACCCACCTTCTAATTCATAATTCATTATCTATTTTAATTTTAGAGGAAGTTATTCATAAAAAAAACTTAAATATTTAATAAGGTTTATTATTTAAGCTCATTTTCTTTTAAATAAAATAAAATTTAAAAAACTAAATATTCCTATACATGCATAAAGTTTGCGCATGCAATTAAAAATATAATGGCTCAATTATCGTAAGGGTGAATGAAACATGAGGAGAGTATATATATATATATATATATATATATATATATATATATATATATATATATATCTATATATATTCCTCACACATGAAATGTACTTGAGTTTCTAAAAGGGTTAAAAATAAAAAAAAATATAAAAGAAAATATGGTGGCGTAAAAAAAACCTCCATAATAATTCTTAAAAAGATATCACCGTAAGCTACTGCCAGATGATATAATTTAATACCTTTACTGTAGTAGCAGTAGTAGTTACCTTACAATTTGTCCAGCTGTCTCGTGTATTTTTTAATTTTTTATTTTCTTACCTAACTTTACGTGTTTGTATTAAATTTTTTATCCAACCACATCCCGAGGTAAGACCAAAATAATTTAAATAATACAAAGCTGAGGTAAGCCTGGAAAAATATTGCTAAGTGAACTGGAAAATAACACTAATGGAAAATATTATTCTAATATCCAAAAGGATTTACTAAAATTTACTTTATTACCTTTTTGGATGACATTATTGGCGTTAAACTTTATTATCAAATCAGGATTATGATAAAACAAAAAAAAAATTTTGTAGCCTAGATGGCGCTAATATCACCTCTCACAGATCCTCAAGGGGTTTTAATATGATGAGCTATAAACACTGAGGAACAAAATGACACCTCGATCGGTCAAATCAGGCGATTGGTTGCCGAGTTATAGCATTTTTTATGTTTTAAGACGGTCATTAAAGCTAATTAATTGGTTCTGGGTTCGAGTCCTCAACAAATTTTTTTTTTTTTTTTTTTTTTTTTTTCAAATCAATTGAATTAAAGCAAAAGGGATTTTGTAAAAAGAAATAAACTAGCATTGATACTTAGATTTTATTTATCAAAAATGGATGCTAATCTGTCAAGACTTTCGGTCTAATAACCTCATCAAAATCCTTGGTAAGATCAACAAAAGTATCTGGATTATACTCTGAAATGTCTTTAAAGGCTAAATCATCTACTGTTTTATCGAGAATCAATCGACCAACGAAGTTTGTAAACCCAACTTGAACGTATTGATCTTGATCTAATAGCTTGCAGATGATAGGGCTTCCAACGAAGCTCTAAAAATCATCAAGCATTAATTCGATTTTGATCAAAGTAAATAATTGCAACTTACAATATTTCTAACGTCACGCAGTCCACCATAGGATAAACTGCACTTATCGACAATGCAATCTACATCATTGTGTAGCTTGACCACTTCCTCTTCATAAAGCCCGAATGAACCTGGAGTAATTGACACGCGATACTCTTGATGTAGATACCCTGAAATTGATACCTCAAAAAAATGACAATCCAATTGAATTAATTAACTAAGCTTACCTTCCTCGAGGATGTGCTCCTCTCCTACTTTGTATTCTGATCTCACGGACATCCAGTGATAGATCGAACAATCTTCAGAGTCCCACTGGTGATTTCTATCAGCCAATGTAATGATACCGACCTTGTCATAGAGCTCAAACGGTTTACTCAACTTCAAAAGCACCCAGTCGCTTGGTGTCACCTGATGGTTTTTGTCTAAATTTGGAGGAGAGAATAAGGATAATATCGATCTGGAGTCGCACCTAATCTTGACAGCGTATTGCCAATTGGCGATAACCTCCAAATCGCCTGATGAGAATCTAAAAACGGATTTCAGGACAATTGGTGATGATCTAAGTGATTATCAACACTGTTAAAAATTTCTATTGTAATTTTACAAGAAATTTATTGAAAGTTAATAGGCGAAAGATTTATTTAAAATTATAATCAGGTATAGTAATATTACAAAACATATATAGATGTGAGGTTACTAATTTTACAAGGTTTTGTAATTTTAGAAATATTTTTAGATTAGCTAAGTTTGTAAAATTACAATACTTTCCTTGAATTTTATTTTAATTGAAATAATAAAAAAGAAAGATTTAATTTAATATTTGTTGTGATTTTATTTTTATTAAGCGCTAGATTTTGCATCTCACGTAGACCTAATTTTTACAACTCAGATGATATAAAGTGGAAATAATATTTACCCTCACTAAGAATCGAACGCGAGCCGCTCGCTTGCTAGACCGATACCTAAAGCCCTACGCTGTACGACCGATAGGTGGTTCAACATCTTATTATTATTATAAGCTAATCCTATGTGGTAATTGAGCATTACGGCTTATTATTTATTATTTACATTATTTGTGTTATTTGATGCTGTTTATTGATGGAAAATAACTAACTTTTACATTATTTATAATTCATTGAATATTATAAAAATCAAAGTCTAACATATACTCATTCAAATATATTGATTTTGAAATGATCATTTGAGCGTAATATTGAAATTTATAAAAGATAAATGATGCCTCGAATTTATTATTGTAAATAAACAACCATAGACTAAAAATTAGTAAAAATAAATATGAAGGACATTGTTGTTTTTTGATACATCAATCTCATTTTTGTAAAACTGAAAAGTATTGTATTTACAATTGGAAAACAATGAAGTAGAATTACAATTCGTGTAATATAATTAAAATTGTCTGGTAACATTACATTGCACTGTGTAATTTTACAATGAAAATTGTAAAAATAAAATAAAGCATTTTAAATTTTTTATAAGATTATTGTAATATAAATTACAATATTTTTTTGTGATTTTACATACAATTATGCCGAATCAGATCACAAATAATATTTGCAAAATTAAAAAGCTTTTCTTAAAAATTGAAGGATTAATACTGACTTTGTCACCTTAGACGCTGCTGTGAGGACCACGTCTTCTTTGATCAGCGATCCGTAGCTTAATCCTGGAAGCAGTCAGTAATTACACTATTAAAAAGAGGTAATCATTGATTAATATAACAATACTTACCGTGCATCCCAGCATATTTCTTGTCTGCTTGGTTGATGATAAGCACCAACCATGGCGATTTGGTGTTTGCATGCTTCCGTTACTTCGGTGATGGTACGATTAAAAATAGTAAAACAGCTTTCACTACCTCCTATCAATATTATTGATGATACCAACAACTTCCATATTAACGAAATATCCATTGCGTTGGTTATTGAGGAGCCTATGTGTTCTATTCGCTAGAATTTAGAAATAATGCACAAGAAATGATATACTGGCTATTATTTATAGCGATAAGCACAGTTATTTACTTATTTGTTAACTTTTAACAATGAAATTCATATTGAACTGGTATCACTAACAATTATGGTAATTAAAATAAATTGCACTGCACTATCGATGACTTTGACCAATTATGGTGACTTTCCATTCAATTTTTATCAACGTCACCAATGATAGTCACATCTTCTGTGTTAGAAAACTATTTATCAAGATCATAACAACCTATTTTGTGTATTTAATCCAAAAATCGCAATTTAATTTTCTGTTGCCGCGCTTTGGGTTGTGCCGTCATTTTAAAATGACTATAACTAGTAAAATAATCGATCGATTGACTTGGTTCTTTAAAAACTTTTTTTAGAAAAGTGTCCCCTAGGTCCTTACGAAAAATCACAACCTAATTACAATTTGTAATTACTGGTAATTAAAAAATTGAGTTTTTACTCAAACCACAACCAAATTTGGAGAAATTCACCTTACAACGCTCATTTTTTCGGTAAAAAAAAAGTAACCGCGTTTAATATCTAAGTAACTACATAATAAACGAGTAAGTAGGAAAAATGTATAGAAAAAAAATATAAAACAACGATTAAATGATAAAATGTACGTACTCTTGTATCTTTTGGATTTAAGACTGATTTTTTATTGACGCTCGATTTCTTTTTTACATTTTTTTATCTTTCAGATTAATAGATTTTAATCGTATATAAATCATTCAATATTAATTATGATTATTAATAATAATAATATTAAGGATAATTGTAAATATGTTGAATTAGATTGAGTGAGTCAATTGGTGACTGAGAGCAATAATAATTTTAAATTTTAAAAATAAAAATCAAAAATTAGTGTCGATTCCTGGCCATGATTAATAAAAATTAAAATTGTGTACCCCGTACTGTAAAATTTTACAAGTCACTTATTGTATTTATTAATTATTCAATTATTGTATATATAGATATGGACGTAATAAATACAATTTAAATTATTAAATATTTTTTTTTCAATTTTATCCTTGATCATTTTTTTTATCTCCAATATTAAGCCCATAAATCGAAATTTCATTATTTATTGCCGTACTTTGGGTTGTGCAATAATTTTTGCAATGACTATAACTCGTAAACTAATCGACCAATTGACTTGGCTCTTTAGAAACTTTTCGTAGAAAAGTGTCCCTTAGGTCCTTGCAAAAAATCCGGTTTATTTAATTAGATTAATTAAATATCCGAAATAACTCACATTTATCAAAAGGAATTTTGTAAAAGAAAATAAACTTCGATACTTAGATTTTATTTATCAATAATAGATTCTAAGCTATTGAGATTAAAGGTATAATAACCTCATCAAAATCCTTGATAAGATCAACAAAAGTGTCTTCATCATACTCCGAAATGTCTTCAATGTCTAGATCATATTCAGTTGCATAGACACTCCATTGAGCAACAAAAGTTGTAAGCCCAACTTGAACATATTGATCTTGATCTAACAGCTTGCAAACGATGGGGCTTCCAACGAAGCTCTGAAAATCATCAAGCACTAATTCGATCTTGATCAGAGTTAATAATTAATTTAACGCTTACGATTTTTTTAATGAATCTCTCTCCTTCAAAGGTTCTATGACCATTCAGCATAATGCTATCTAACTCATAGAATAGCTCGACCATTTTCTCTTCATCGAGCCTGGATGAATTTGAAGTGAGTGACACGCGATACTCTCGATGTAAAAACCCTGAAAGGGATACCTCAAAAAAATGACAATCCAACCGAATTAATTCCTAAGCTTACCTTCCGCTTCGATGTACCTAGACTCTATTTTGTAATCTGCTTCCACGTAAATCCAGCGATAGATATAACAATCCTCAGAGTCCCACTGGTGACTTTTATCAGCCAATGGAATGATACCGACCTTGCCATAGAGCTCGAACGGTTGATGCAAGATCAAAATCGCCCAGTCGCTTGGTTTTACCTGATTTTTGTCGAAATTTAGAGGGGTCCCGATTAATGATACCAATCTGGAGTCGTAGATAGTCTCGTCAGTAATTTGCCAATTGATGACAACCTCCAGCTGGCTTGATGATAATCTGAAAACAGATTTCAGGACAATTGGCGGTGATCTGAGTGATTATGAAGGATTGGATACTGACCTTGCTATCTTAGACGCTGCTGTAAAGACCACGTCTTCTTTGATCAGCGATCCGTAACTTAATCCTGGAAGCAGACAGTAATTACAATATTAAACAGAGGCAATTATTAATTAATAATTACCTTGTATCCCAGAATTTTTCTCTCGATTGATAATAAGCACCAACCATGGTGACTTGGTATTAGATTCCGTCACTTGGTTCATGGTACCATTATAAACGGTAGCACAGCTTTCAGTCCCGCCTATCAATATTATTGATGATATCAACATCTTCCATGCTAACCAGGTATCCATTGCGTTGGTTATTGAGGAGCCTATGTGTTCTATTCGCTAGAGTTTAGAAATAATGCACAAGAAATGATAACCAGGTTGTTACTTCGAGCGATAAGCACAGTTACTTACTTATTTGTTAACTTTTAACAATAAAATTCATATTGAACTGGTATCACTAACAATTATAGTGATTAAAGTAAATTGCACTGCAATATCGATGACTTTGACCACTTATGGCGACTTTCTGTTCCATTTTTATCAATATTACCAATGATAATCACCGCTTCTGTGTTAGAAAACTATTTATCATGATTATAATGAACCTATTTTGTGGATTTAATCGAAAAATTACAATTTAATTTTTAACTTCCCGCTAAAAATCTCAGATTTTCAAAAATCGGGAAGTTATTGTTTTTACCCCGTTTTACAAAAATCGAGTTTTCATCAGATCTCGACGTTTGAAGGTCACAGGAAGCTTCCCTGACTATTTTTACGATGATGTCCGTACGTCTGTATGTATGTGTGGTTTTTTTTTTTTTTTTTCCTTTAGGAGGGGGGGAAGTCCTTTTACGGTATCTAGGCATAGTTGTTGGCCTGGATATGTGGCGACTCGACGCAGCGTCATACTAAAACTCGACGCTAACGCCCCTCCCACTAACCCTAAACCCTTTCCTCTTCCTCTAATCCCTCCATGAACCGCCGTCAGGCGACTTACTTCGTGTAGGGGAGGGATCTAGCTACT